CCCCCCGGGGGGGGCCCCCGGGGGGCCCCCGGGGGTACCCTCCGCTGCGTCAAATGGAGGCCCCCCACAACATCCATTTTATTCCAAACCTTGCGAGCCACATCGAGGCGGTAAAGAGCCACGAAAGAGACTTGACAAATGATGCGCGTCACGCTCGCGTCGTAGCTGTGCAGGCACCTGCAGCAGCAGCAGCAGCAGCAGCAGCGGGTGGGTTGGAGCTAATGCCGCAGCAGCTGCAGCAGACGCTCTAATAGCTGCGCCGGCTCCCACCGCAGCAGTGTGGGCAGTGGGCGCGGCGCACAGGAAGCTGCAGCAGCATGCAGCTGCGGAAAACACAGCAGTAGCAGCAGCAGCAAGCTTACTTCAGCGACAGAAGCGTGCGAGAGAGATGCACCAAGGCCGAAGGAGGGCCAGAATTTTCTCCCTCCTTCTTTTCCTTTGGGTCCTCAGGAGCAGCGGCAGGGCCCGCTGCTGCCAGTGCTGCTGGGGCTGCTGCTGGCGGCGGCGCTGCTGCTGCTGCTGCTGCTCTGGCTGGGGTCCCACATACTGTGAAGGATACAACAGCGGGGTCTGAAGACAGCCGAGGCGGCATCTGCAGCAACAGTGGGGGGCCCCGGGCCCCAAAGGGAGAAGGTAAGAAAGCTGCGGGGGGCCCCAGGGGCCCACAGGGACTCGAGGGGACCTTCCGGTAGACTAGCAGCTCTAAAAAAGCTGCTGGGGCTGGCGAAAGACAAGAAATGCGAAGAAGAAAGAATGTGATGGAGTGTTGGCTTCAAACCTGGCAGTGTGTTGGAAGGCGAGTCCGAAAGGTGTATGTACACCGCAGCAAACACGAGCAACGCGTCCTGCTAAAAAATAACCCTCTACAGTTATAAATTTCAATTCTTTTTTCGACACTGCGATCAAGAGCGCAGAAGAAACCGCGTCGCTCACAGTGCAGTAGCGGCAACGACAGCAAAGCAGCCTGAGGAGCAGCCCTTCCGCTCACCTCCCCTAAGAGACAGTCGAAAACGAAAGACTGCCTAACACAAAAATTCATTTAATCTTCAATGACTAGAAAAAAGCCCTGAAACGCAGCAGCAGCAGCTGCAGCAGCGCCAAAGCAGCACAAAGACACAGTACGGCGCATGCAATAGCGGACCGTTCCAGCCGCAGCCGACGCCCACAGCCACCGAAATCAAGAGCTATTAAGCAAATCTTCTGTTTAATTTAGCTTTTAAATATTTAAGTTGTAAAGGTTTTCAATCCAGCCAGGCGATCAGCAGCAGCAGAATCCGCAGCTCGCGCCGCAAGCGCCGCAGCAAGAAGCAGCCACGCAGCAGCAGCAGCCACAACTAGCGAAGAAACAGCAAACAGCAAGAGCAGCAGCCACACCTCGTTAAGGAGCAACAAGCAGCAAGACAGCAGCAGCAGATCCAGAAGTAGCAGCAAGCAGCAAGAGCAGCCGCAGCAGCAGAACCAGCCTAGCCATTCGCACTCTCAAACTACCGCCCCCAGTAGGCAGCAAAATATAACTAATTAATAATAATTCAATACAATCAAAAAGCAGCAGCAGCAGCTAGCTGCACTTCAAAGCAGCAGCAGCAACTACGTGCACTTAAAAAATGCTTTTGCTTCTCCCCAGAGCCTCAGCCACCCGGCGCGCACAGCGCCTCGTGGCTAGCCACAGCTAGCCACAGGCAGCTACAGCTAGCCACAGCTAGCTGTTAACAGCCACGGCAGGCCACAGGCAGC